GTTAAACGTATTCAGATATCACTAAAATTTGCATAATCAGAGCAGTGAATTGTGATACTCCTAGAGGACTAGTTAACCAGATAATGAAATTAATGAGCACGAAAGACTAGAGTCTCTGAAACAACAAAAGCTGAGCAGCCACATTAAACTCTTCTGTTTTACAAGACTGTTCAGCTGTCTGTTCTTTATTTAATATAACAGCGAAAAATCAACTACTTTAAGACGGACTCTTCCGCTTTGTTAAACTTAACCCTAAAGTACTACTTGCAAACCAAATTAACATGTGATTCAGCTAGAGAAAATAACTGACTAGCAATTAGATTAAAGAGAAGAAAGACCCTGACATGCAAGCCAGCAGGCTAATATAGACCAGAAAATAACACCTGATTTTTCAAATGGAAGTCACAACAAAATCGAGGATATTCAGAACTAAGTGGTTTTTTCCTACGAAAGTTGTATATTACTTTTTATTTTATTGTTCTATGCTAACCGCGACCCCTCAAGTACATCGCCTTCACCCTACGCCAAAAGTCAGGTGTGGAAATGTCTCCAGGCCTCGAGATTTATTCCCTCGACTTTGCACCGCCAACGGCTGGGTGTGACCCAATCTTTGGTGTGCCCAGACTGTGAATCCGAGAACGTATGGTTTGCTACACACTGCTGCAAAACTGATAGGAGTAGCCCAAGAGTTGGCGGGGGGTGTTGTTGACTAGTTTCCTTCCATCTAGTCTGTCAATTCAAAATTTAGGGATGTCTCTGCGTAGATAGATCTTGTGTAGCTTTGCGCAAAATTCTGAAACATACATGTAAACTGTGCAAAGAGATCTGAAATTAAAAAGTTAATATAATCTTCTCTCAGATCGTCTAAATTTGATTTAAATCTGAGAAACATGTTGCTATAACAACAAAGCTAGGTCACGTTTCCTGCAGAATCTCCATCCGTGCTGAATAAATCCATAATTAGAGGAACAAATGAAAAACACGTTCCTTAATTTCTATGTTAAATATTTTGTTGTATATATAAAACTTGTAAAACACTGAAATCTTAGAATAAATAACACAGGCCTGCGATGGTTTTTATTGTCTTGAAATTTTACATGTACTACAGTAATTCCTGTACCCTGGATCCGAAAATGATATCCATTTTTCTCCATCACGTACAGATTTTTCACAAAACTTCATAACGCAATGCATATATAAAAGACCACAACACGTAATTTTGAGATTACGAGACGTAGATTTCACACAAAAAATCAGGATGAATGAGGGTGCATATTCGTTTCAACGTTCTTCCCTTTTCGTTAGTTCGTTTGTTTTTGTTAACAAACATAATAATAAAAAAATGTCCATTGTAGTAAACGAAATAATGATTTGATCTAAGTAAGTGTTGTTTTCTTTCTTCCCGTTTTGTAAAAAAATCCTTAGGCGATAGAAACAAATTAATATTATTTTCGTTATTAAAACCAAAGCAACTTTTACGAAGTTTAAATTTGCAGGCCTGTGTTATTAAACCCAAAATCTTAAACTTGGAAATGATGTCTGGACAAAAATACGAAAAACAAAACAAATAATTACAAATTTAGATAAAGCCTGCACTTGGTTGTAAACGTCTTCAGTGCATGTTAATTATAACCTTGTTATTTATTTCGTGGCCTCGTCAAATGAATGTAATTATACTTTATCTGCTTATACAACGTTAGTTGTTTGGTATTTAATACATTCATCAGACTGTAGTAGTGAACTTATACGGGGAATTAGGCTAACAGTAAAGGAGGTTTTGTGTTTATTGTTAAGCCATATATTCCATGCTCATCTCGGCGATGAAACTCCAAATCTTAGCGTTATGAGTTCACAAGCTTATTGCTGAGCGACTGAGAGGCGTAACAGGAGTTACTGCTTCATAATATATAAATATGTATTTGTATTTAAGACAAAGCTGCTCAAGATATCTGCCGCTGTCCTTAATTTTGAGCTATTGACCGAAGGTAAGGCAGCCAGTGAGCTACACCATGCACTCCAGATGATCGATTATAACTCTTATAACACACACAATCTTAAAGTGCGGGAAATATTTTGTGGTATTGACCGAAGGTAAGGCAGCCAGTCAGCGACACCATGCACTCCAGATGATCGATTATAACTCTTATAACACACACAATCTTAAAGTGCTGGTAATATTTTGTGGTATTGACCGAAGGTAAGGCAGCCAGTGAGCTACACCATGCACTCCAGATGATCGATTATAACACACACAATCTTAAAGTGCGGGAAATATTTTGTGGTATTGACCGAAGGTAAGGCAGCCAGTCAGCGACACCATGCACTCCAGATGATCGATTATAACTCTTATAACACACACAATCTTAAAGTGCGGGAAATATTTTGTGGTATTGACCGAAGGTAAGGCAGCCAGTGAGCTACACCATGCACTTCAGATGATCGATTATAACTCTTATAACACACACAATCTTAAAGTGCGGGAAATATTTTGTGGTATTGCCCAAATTCAAATCTGGCTCATCATCTCTGAAGTCCATACTTCTACCACAGAGCCAACTCGCGCTCCATTTATTAACAGAACCAAAAGATTTTGTACATATACAAAAATTGAATCTGGTTACCTGGAGTGCTTAAACAAACAACACGTAAAAAGTAGTTCAGTAAAAAAATGGTGTTAAACAATAGTAACATTGTAGTTCACTAAAAAATGGTGTTAAACAATAGTAACATTGTAGTTCACTAAAAATGGTGTTAAACACAACAGTAACAATGTAGTTCAGTAAAAAAATGGTGTTGAACAAAAGTAACAATGTAGTTCAGTAAAAAAATGGTGTTAAACAACAGTAACATTGTAGTTCAGTAAAAAATGGTGTTAAACAAAAGTAACATTGTAGTTCACTAAAAAATGGAGTTAAACACAACAGTAACAATGTAGTTCAGTAAAAAATGTTGTTAAATAAACAACAGTAACAATGTAGTTCAGTAAAAAATGGTGTTAAGTACACAACAGTAAAAATGTAGTTCAGTAAAAAATGGTGTTAAACAAACAACAGTAAAAAAGAAGTTCGGTAAAATATAGTGTTAAACAAACAACAATAACAATCTGGTTCAGTAAAAAATTGTGTTAAACAGCAGTAACAGTGTAATTTAGTACAAAATTGTGTTAAGCAAACAACATTAACAGTGAAGTTCGGTAAAAATGGTGTTAAACAAACAACAGTAACAGTGTAGTTAAGTAAAAAATAATGTTAAACAAACAACAGTAAAAAGAAATTCGGTAAAATATGGTGTTAAACAAACAGTGCAGTTCGGTAAAATACGGTGTTAAACAAACAACAGTAAAAAGTAGTTCAGTAAAATTGGCGTTAATAAACAATAGTAACAGTATAGCTCAGTGAAAAATTGTGTTAAACAAAAACCGTAACACTAGTTCAGTAAGTACAGTGTTAAACTTGACGACTTAGAAGGCCGTCTACTGACCGTTATGAAGTCATTTTTAACTGAAAGTGAGGTCATATAAGGTCGCGTGCATATTAAACTTTATTATTACTTTTGAAAATGGGGCCATGCCTACAGGATATATTAATTTTGCTGCCTGTTTGTATTTTTTTTTTACACCAACATTTTACTAATTCCTGCATCTATCAATAAGTCCACATTACATTTCGTCTATTTTAATCTTATTTTTCCACTTATTGATAACTGAACATCTTCAATGGAAATG